AGTTTCATTCATTCAGCATGCATTTATTAAGTACCCTAGGACATGCTGTGTGTTCCAGGAGTCAGTGGATCTGAAATACATTCAATTCTGCAAGTTTTCTCTTCATATCTCTCAACATTTGTAAGGCAGTGTTGGCTACAGGTGTATTCTGTGGAACCCAGATTCTCCATGGAGAGAATGTTCCTTCATGGAATAATTTGGGAGGGGCTGTATACTCTCTCCGTCCCTTGAGGATTTACAATGTACATTAATCAAAAGATTGCAGGGTGGAATTGCAGGCAGGGGAATGTCCCTATTGGCCTCTGCTTCTAGTTGGCTATGAGCTTAGGGCAAGTCCGTACAGCTCTAGAAGGTTTGGCTCTTTTATCACTCATGATGGCATTGCCTCAGTTACCCGAACACCTGCCTCCTCACCCAGAAATCTGTGGAAATCTGAAACTGACATTTCTGGTTGCCCACCCAGATACATTTTTCCTGCCTCTTTTCTGATTTCCTGTTTTGTTCCAGTCTCTACCCTCCACCATGGACCACACATCCATCAGGGGACATTGAACTACTTTGGGCTGTAGTAAGCCAAAGGTGACCATATCATACTTGTTTGCTATCTGCTGGGAACTGGGTAAAGACCTTCTGTTCTTGGACAGTGTCCAGCAGCAGCTCTTTGTCTATTTCTATTTGATTGGGATTCTGTTACTTAAGAGTCAAAGTCATCTTTGCACTCAATGAAAGACACCTTCCTTGGCTGGGGACCATCGGAAACCTTATCAGAACCTGCCTCCAGGAACTTCTTGTCCCACATTGCCTAGCCTTTTTTGAAAAATGTTAGCCCTGGCTCTGATTTTGAACCTGTGCTTGGCCTCTGTGGGCTGGCTCACTTGGTCATTTGCTCTGCTTTGCTTCTCACTGACTCTCTCAGCATGACCTCTAGGGACATCAGCCAATACTCAAAACCCCCGATGTCCTACTTGCCTGGAAGAGGCCCCAACTCCCTTCTCAGCGCTCCCATGTGTCTCAGGACTCTCAGGATAATTCCTGACATGACACATTGCCAAGCCACAGTATCTTCAAGTCTATTCCCAGCTCCTTAGCTAGGACTGATTTCCACGTACCAAGCAAGTCCTTGTATAGAGGTGAAGGAGATGACGGTATCTGCACAGAACCCATAGTCTATACTGAAGCCCTGGGTTATTGTTTCTAAAAATGATGCCCCAGGCCTGCCAGTATCAGAATCACTGATATCAGAATCAAAGGCTTGTTTAAAAAATGCAGGTTCCCAGGCTTGCTACATAGTATCCCTGGCATTGAACTTCTGACTATTTTTCACAGTCCAAACCATGGTTATCTCATACTCTGGATCATCCCAAAGTCAACTCAGCTTTCAACCTCAGCATGTGATGAAACAGAGGCCAAGGCAAAGGAGGAGTTGGGAGAAGTTGGGAAGGAACAAGAATTATGAAGAGGAAGGGAGAAGGGGAGTGTAAGAGAAAGATGCTAGACTATTGCAGATGGACAGCGGAGGAACTATGCCTAAAGGCAGACTCATTTTATGACAGCCATTTGTTTCCCAGTTCCTTTGACACTCACTTTTGTGTGTCTACTAGCCTTCTTCTTCTAGCATGATTTGCACCCAGACAGTCAGTGTGACAATGTAACCCTCTACAAATCATAGAGTCAACAACAAAGAATGAGAGGGAAAAAAATGCCCAGGATCCAAAGGTCAGAGCAAACTTTTCTTAGCTGGAAATCTACATGCCACAAAAATGTTGCCTAGGGGTTGATTCATTTCACAAATGTGAAATATGTTTTCTGATTCCACGCTGCGCCTTCCCTCTCAATTCCATGCCACTCCATAATTGCTCATTTCATAATTTTAAGTTCTTTCCCACCTTCTTCCCATTTCTTATGAAATATATTTATCCAGCAATGGACACGATAGAATGCAGATCAAACGGAAGTAATGCCTGTAATTTCTGACTGCTAACTTCACTCAGAATTGAACTTAGGAAGAGTTTAGGCATTGATGGGGGAAAAATAATTATTAGGTAACATTTTTTTTCAAAAAATGATTTATGGATTGGAATTCAAAGCTTATTCCACAATGTAGATCTGTTCAAAATGGATCTTCTACAGGCCATCCTTAGTAATACTCCTCATATTCATATCCATAGCCTCTTTTATAAAAGAAAAATCTACATGTTCCTCTTCTTTCCTGTCGCACTACTCCAACTGTCATTAGACATTTTGACACCAAACTATTTCTCATTTTCTTGCTCGCTAGGGACAAATTTAGTCTGTGTTCTTGGATACTTGGCCATTCCATGTCCCTATGCAGTGAACTTAAAAAAAAAAATCCGTGAAATGGACTCCAATAATTGTATTTATTTTTGGATTTTAGTTTTTAAGTTACATTGCAGAGACCATCAAGTCAATTTAATATGCACATAGCTTTTGAAACTCAAAGATCAGAGATTGGACCCTGGGTCTTCTGGTCACCAACATCACCCCCATCTTTTATTTTTCTGTTTGGTGGTTCCCACAATAACTGTGTATCAGAATCAGCTGAGGAATTTTAAAAATACAGACTTGCTATCTCAACCCAGAAATAAAGAATCTGACTTTCTGGGATTGGGGCCCAGGAGCGAGTGAGTGAGTGAGCTTGCTTGCTTGTTAGCTTGCTTTCCTTCCTCTCTCTTTTGTTTGTTTTCCTTTCCTTTCCATTCTTCTCTCTCTCCCTCTCTCTTTTTTCCCATTTCCTTTCTTCCTTTCTTTTTTTTTTTTCTTTTTATAGGCTCCCCAGGTGATTCTCATGCAGCCTCCAAGTACCCATTCACTGAAGGCATCTGGGAAGCATTTCTCTGGTTTGAACTTGTACGTGCAACAGAAGCACCTGGAGGCCTTAATAGCAGACTGAACCCTCAAAGTTTCTGATCAATGGGTCTAGGATGAAGCTTGTAAATCTTTATTTCTAACAAGTTTCCAGGTGATGCTGATAGCTGGTCTCTCTACCCGGAGGATTATGCCTCTAACCCAGACAGCTTGTGCATAGATTTATTATTCACTAGCATTTCTATTTTGTGGTCAAAGACTGTGCTTCTGAAGAAGGAATATCCTCGGGTCAGAGATAACGCATCTGGCTGAGCAATATAAGCACTTGGAACTTTTTTATTTTTTTAATTTAATATTCAGTTATTGAGGTTAAGCTTGGGCTTCATCTCAGATCTGCTGAATCAACATTTCCAGATTCCCTGGGAGTTTTTTTTGTTTTGTTTTGTTTTGAAGTTACCCAGAAGATTCTGATTTATTACAAGGATTTGAAGCCATTTCCTTGGATGAGCCAAACTTGTAAGTTCATGAATAACTTATAAGAAAAAGTTATTTGTTGTTTATCAGAAACTCAAATTTAATGGGGCATCCCATGTTTTTATTTGCAAATGTGGCACTCCCTGCTCACTCAGCTGTCTTTGCCAGGAGTGTCTTTCCTCTCTGTGCTCCCTCCTTTCCTCACATATCCCTGTTTTAAATGCTTAAGGGAATGGAGGTGAGCAAAACTCATACAAATGTGATATGTGGGGTGAAGAAGAGAAAATTAAGATGTTTCCTCAGGAAAGAAAACACACACACACACACACACACACACACAAATTCATTAATCTAGACAGCAGAAACAAAATCAGAAAAAAAAAAATTTACAGTCTGCTAATGGTTTTTTACCAGACAATTCGTCAATTACACAGTCAAAAGAAACCCTGGGGAACAAAAAGACACCAAAGATGCTATTAAAATGTTCCAAGTGAAGCTGTATATAATTAATTTCAAACAAGCATAAGCTATGAAAACACAAATGCTTCAAGGTGCTGAGTGAAAAATGGGATAAATCTACATCAGCCTCAAAATCAGTGCTTCCAGGTGAGTTTAAGTTTAGGCCAGAGACAGAGAGAGACTGTTGTCTGCTCCCTCCCTGTTTTATGGGAAGCTAAAGAGTCTTCAGAAGAGACGCTCCCAGAGCACCAAGGACAAGAAGAGACAGATAAAGACCATCCCCTCACATCATCACTAACTACCAGCACACGGAACTGAATAAATGAAACATCAATCAAAACAGAGGAGAAAAATGCACTGACGCAGAAGGCACAGAAAACAAAGGGAGATCTAGTAATTGCCCAGGCTGATTAACCACCTTAGCACCAGGGTCTCCTTAAAGAAAGCATTTTTCTTCTTAATCAGTCTTAACTTCTCATAGGTTAGAGAAGTTAAGACTGGTTAAGAGCTAGATGAAAAGAGCTAGATGGTAAGACTTTTAGATTATCCGAACCACATAGTCTCTGTACATCAACATAATGTAATGGTGCTCTTGTAACATGAAAACAGACACAGATGACACATTAAAAAAATGGGTGTGTTGTGTTCTAATAAAACTTTATTAACAAAAAATAGGTGGTGGAATGGATTTGGCTTATGGGCCACAGTTTGCCAAGTCACAGTGAGTCCATGTGGCAAGGATGATATTATTACTGGATTCTACAGAGCATCCAGTATTCAAATGGTGCATGTTTAGTGAGGGACCATAAAACATTCCATTAACTCATCACTACACAGACAAGGGAAGAGTGTTTAAAGGCCATCCCAAAGTGTGACAGTAGGAAACCTGAATGCAGAAACAGTAGAAGATGTTATGTGAAATTCTAGGATTGTGTTATAAAAGGGAAAGAAAAGAAGGCAATGAGACCAAACATTTCAGCCCATGTTTAAAGAGGTTCTATTGATGGATCTGACATCCAGAGAAAATGAGGTGACAGGACAGGGGAGAGGGCCCCCCTGCCATTCCCTCTGACTGGGACTCTTTAAGCTACCTCTGCAGAGGATACATCCTGTATGATAATGTTATCCCCCTTGATTAGGGTGTTTTTGTTTTTGTTTTTGTTTTTGACCATCTCAATTCACCAAGTTTGCATCTAGCTTCCATAGAAGAGTCCTTTCTGAAAAAGAAAGAGAAACTGAGCCATTTTGGCATAGAATTTTATTCTCCAGGCCAGCATATGTCACTCATGGTGCACCTCCAAGTCCATCAAGAAACACACAGCATGCATTTACATGGTAAAACTGAACAGCTTTATTCCCCCCTCCCACTTCACAATTGGCAAATGGATTTCATATGATTTCAAATGGAAGTTTTCTTCCTACAGTTGCCTTTCTCATTGACAACTACTGAGTGCTGCAGCTTGGACCCTGAATGTCCTCTGAGGGCCCAAGTGTTAAAGGCGTGGTCCCTAGCCTGTGGTGCTTTGAGGAGGTGATGGAGACTTTGGGATGTATGGCCTATTGTATTAGGCCACTTGGGGTATGTCCTCAAAGAGGACTTCAGGACCCTCTACCTCTCTCCTTCATGTCCCCACCATGAGACATGTGGCTTTTTGCTTTGCCACACACTCCCACCATAATGTGCTGCTTCACCACAAGCCCAAGATCAACAGGCCAAATCATTTATGAACATGAAACCTCCAAAACTGTGAACCAAAATAAACCTTTCCTCTTTAAAAGCTGATTATCTCAGGCATTTGTTAAAGTAACAGAAAGCTAAACAACAGAGTAGGGAAACTGCTTTCTTGGTAGAAGAATTAGATTTCACAGAGAAACTTTGAGTTAATGACAGACACCAGAGGATCTGACCCAGCAGCCTCTAGGGGTGTCAATGAGGTCAGGAGGTCCTTTCAGCTGAAGGCCTGATCGGCTGGGATTGGCCAGGCCACTGTAACTCATCAAAGATACTGGCAGGCTCATCCCTGCAGAATTTACAGCACACAGCTCCCTTGACCAGGAAGTCTGAAAGTTATACAGTCCTCTTGGTCCCTACCAAATCCCTATCCTCAGTGCTGGGACCTCATGCAGGAGCATTTTAACAAAGCCTCTGCTTTGGGCTTCCAATGTGCCCTCTTCACCAGGTACAAGAGTGTCTTCACTCCGAAGTTCAGGATTCACGCTGTTCTTGCCTTGTGCTTTAGAGGGCTAGTCTCTGCCTCTCTGAACAATGGTGGCATCATAGCAATGGAAGCATGAAGACCCAAGCAAGTGCTGGAAGGTAGGGTGTGGTGGCACTGCTGCCAGATGTCCTCTGAGCATGCATGACAGCAAAGACTGCATTGGTGTGGTTGGTGGGCAATTCCACGTTGCAAATCATTCCTTCACAGCAAGACCTACACTCCTGTTACAAATAAACAAGAGATGGAAAATAGTAAATAACGGGAAGGGATAAGGGATAAAACATAGAAAAACAAAGGCTTCTTCAGCTCCATCATAAGAGGACCATTAGCGGGCTATCCAGTCTGTGTATCACCAGGTCTTTGGGTTCCCTTCCTCTGCAAAGGATGAGGAGGGAAGAACCATCTTTTCCTCTTAACTATGATTTATCTTCATCAAACCCAATCATCATCAAGGCAGAGAAGTGAAAGGGAAATTGAATAAGACTGCTTGATTGAGTCACCAAATCTTTCTAAAGGTTTTAAGAGAAAACACTGAAGCAAAAGTAAAAGCTAGGAACCTTTTGGATTAGTCATTGATTATCTTTCCCAGTGTTACTTGTTAGGGGGTAATAGTGACTCACTCTTTTCTATGCTCATATCTGATTCCTATCATTACTGTAGCAATAGTTTACTAATTGTGGCTCCTGAGTGGTTAAAAAACAAAGGGCTGGGTCCCTAAGAGCATGAGATATTTTCAGGGGAAGTAGTCTCCTATGGTAATACCAGTGTATGGTTGGCACATGCCTTGACCTGAGAAACCCAGTCATTCCTTGAGGCTTCTGGGACAGTCAGGCAACACAAAGGCACAACCGCTAAGCATTCATGTCAGTGGTTTTCAACACAGGGTGCACATCAGGTTCACCTTGGGGCAATTTTAAAATGATCTCAATGCCCATGACCTCTACTTAAGGTTCTGCTTCAACTGGTCTGAGGATGCTCCCTCATCACCTGACTAACAAACCACCCAGGTAATCTTGGTGTTACTAAAGCCAACAACCACAAATGTTGAAATCATTTTCTGTGCTTATAAACTAAATTAAATTCTAAAACCTCATGAAATTAATATATGTTCAAATAATCTTTTCTCAAAAATTTCAAGATTCCAGGCATATAAAAGTATAAAATGCTCATTTAGAATCACAGAATGAGAAAATTAAAAAGATTAATTGATCCACAGTGTGTGTATAGTTCATTGCATTAAACTGAGCCTAATTTTTCGACTTTTTCTCCTCTGAGCAGAGGCGGTGGGTGAGACAAGTTTCCCTTGGTACATGGTATCACTATTTTCCTATTTCTACCTTTCCATTTCCCTGTGCAGCATTCTTGGTGATTTCTGGCCATGAACAAAACAGGTGAGCTGGGCTCTAGTGTTCATGGTTCTGTCACAGATGAGTTGCTCACAGGCTACCAGAGCTGGCTTTGGACCATTCACCCAAAGTCTTGAGGCCCACAGTATAGAACTGGAATCTGGGAATTATCATTCATTGCTAAAGTAACATTATTTCTCACTGGAGAACAGAAAGTCTTTTGACTTCTCTTTGGTCTCTATTTCATTGCTGTAATGCAGTCTTTTCTCAAAGTATAAGCATGTTCAATATATTGTTCATCCTTCAGAACTTACTTTTGCTAGCATGAGATTAGTAAATTTACACACCCGCCTGCACACACAGGATCTTACCGTATGTTCAGAATCTTGGCTGTGGTGGCACCCAACAAAATGACATTCACTTTTGGAGGCACACTTTTTGGTGATGGAGGTACTTCTTCCATGGCTGGTGAAATGATGAACTGTCAAACAATACTGTGTATCTAGGTAAAAAAAAAAAAAAAAAAAAGCAATAAAAACAAGGCAACTTCATTTTTCCACAATGCAAAAGAGACCTTTCAACAACTACTCTAGAAATGACTAATATTCATGATGAACCTTAAGTTTTTGGCAAGAAATTTAATAGCAGTGAGCTCTAGAGTTTCTAGATAGATTTTTTTTTTTTGCAATAACATCTGCTTCTAAAACACATATGTATACTGAAAATAAATATAAATAGTCACCCATCCTTTGGTATAAACTAAAGCTGAGAATAAATGTGCAAACTTTTCACCAAACTCAGGGGTGTGCTCATTGAAGATGCATGTTTGTGTCTCTAGTCCATCCCCCCTACTTTTGAAACAATGTTCTAAAACTCTAAGATGAAAATTGCAAGTATAGATGCAATAGGTCATAATACCTGTTTCTGCATCATTCAACATTTGTTTCTTACAGGTGATGAGGCAAATGAAAGATAAAAGATGGGACTCCTGGGATAGGGAAGTAGCTCAGTGGTAGAGCATTTGTCTTGCATGCATGAGGTCCTGGGTTCAATCCCCAGCACATGGAGGGCAAAACTGAAAAAAAAAAGATATGGCTTCCAATCCCATGTCAAGATCATCTTCTCTTCTCATCTAATTCTTACTCAAGTCCTTATACTCCCAATGCATTTCCTCATCAATGAATTTCTATTTTCTCTTCTTTTTAAATTAACTCTTCCTTTCTGCTTCCCATTTCTGCAGAAAGACTTCTGCATAGCATTATCTTTATAGCTTTAACCACAAACATTTTATTATTTAAAGTTCTTCCAAGAAAGTGGTTTCATTCACTATCCTAGGACTGCTCTGATTGTGTCTCTCTTCTATAACTACCTCAGGCCAAGGAAACTTTCTGATCAGGGACCACAACAACAACATCACTGAATAGGGGAGGGAGACTGGACTGAAGTTGAGAAGACTAGGTTTATGGAATAGCCTATCAAAAGTAAACTACTTGAGGGCTGCAGTTGTGACTCAGTGGTGGAGTGCTTGCCTAGCATGTGTGAGGCAGTGGGTTCGATCCTCAGCACAACCTAAAAATAAATAAAATAAAGGTCTAAAAAAATACAATGACATTATTTTTTTAAAAGTAAGCTACTTTAGAACCTTTGAGCCCGTTTTCTTTTTAGAGAAATAGTTAAGTGCACTGGCATTCTGATAGGGTTGTTACAAGCTTTAAATAATATTAACAATAGCAAACACATACTGGGCATGAACCATCAGCCAGGCACCCTTCTAACTTGTATCTTCTCATTCAGTGCTCTCCACAAGCCCTGAGGTAAGCAGACTTAACATCCTCATTTTATAGATGAAGAAAATCAGGCACAATTTCTTGTCCAAAGTAACAAAGGTAGAAAAATCACATAGAGGAAAAGCCGCATAGGTAGAAAGGTCACCTAGCTGAAAGATCACATACACGGAAGGTCACATAAGCAGAAAATTTACCCAGGTGGAAGGTCACACAGGTGGAGGGTAGGCTTCTAATGCAGCAGTTTCATAGGATTTGCACTTTTAACATTAATATTAAGCTAGACACTGCTACAAACTAGTGCTGCCCGCAGAGTGCTCTGCAAGTGTGGCTGGCTTCTGGATTCAGAAAGAAAGGGGGAACTAACTGTTTTAGAGAAGGAATTTCCATTTATAGTCCAAACAAGGAGGAATTGAAAACCAGTAGCTGCATGCGTTCATACACAATATCACACATGCAAAAAGCAGCCTCCACAAGTCAGCACTGAAGCCAGGGTAAATAAAACTAGAAATGCCATTCTTGTTGTATCCTGTTACATGGGAACCCTTTAACAACACTGACAGACCACAGAAGTGAAGCTGCAAGGAAAAAAAAGGAAACGTGAGATGACAAAGAGCAATAGCTGCAGGCCAGTTTGCCTCCCAAAATGGTTAACTATCACTCCCGTAAATAATGGCAAAGTGAAAAGAAAGAAACCATACTCTCAGTTATAATTCCAGGTGGTTAGTATCTTTAGCACTTGACTGACATATCATCAAGAAGGAGCTTCTATGCCATGCTGGAATGGAGGATCATTCCACGCTGATCTTTAAGAGCCAGCTTCTGGACACAGCAGAACCAACTCTTCCACTTTCCCCATTTCTGAATTGTCTCGGTGGTCTCTGCAGCTTCCTGCTTTTTGTTTGCCCATGTTTCAGTGGAGATGGAATTCTAAGACATAGAAATAGTTCCTGGCTTGCATGCTAAAATGGTTTCAGTGACAAATAGGATATGCTCAGACCTAGGAGAACAGAGTTTTGGGTACAATTTTAAAACAATAGCACAGTCTGTGAATAGAAGGCCTGAGAAGCTGGGCTCCAAGGTCCCCATGTACAACTATGCTAACCCTTCTACTTGGTTTTCAAGGAGATGGAAAGCAAATTGTTAAAGAATGATACCTGCTCTCTGAAAGAAGCTAGGAGATATATCAACCAACCTTTTAAAGTTTGAAACAATTACAAAATTTCCCTGGAAATGTAGAAATAAAGGCACACAATCACACACACACGCACTCACAAGCATGTGAGTTAACAGCACTCATGCCACAGAAATGTCAAAGAACCCCAAGAAAAAATGTTCACGATTAATTATTCTTAAAAAGGAATGATGAAAAATGTAGTCACGGATACATGACTAATTTACAGCACAAGATGCTCAGACCCCGTAGAGGTCTCCAATGTATAGTATATAGTAATTATTGGTTCCACACTATAAATAATAATGGTATAAAAATACCATATATAGAAATTTCCAAATATCTAAGGTAATATTAGACCCAAACTAGTAATCTCCAATTCTGGAAAAGTTTGGTTTTCTGTTTGTTTTTCTTAGCTGTTTACATCTGAAAACCTAAAAAGCAGTATACCCTGAAGTCTGAATCATCTGATATCCTTATAGCTCCATGTAGAGTTTTTAAATTCCAATTCTTCCACCAGACACTCTACTTGGTTTATTTCAAGTTCGTGTATTTTAAATCATTCAACTTCCCACCTCCTCTATTCCTACCAACCTAGTCCAAGTCCCCAATTTCTGCCTGATGACAACATCAGGTGTCTCCTTCTATTCTGGACCCCAACCATCCATTCACCACACAGCAGACAGAGCAATATTTTAAATACAACCAGTATCATCACACCCTAGCTTAAAACTCTACTGTCCACTTATCCTAGTCACAGTGAAGCCCACATTCTATCAGAGAAAGAACCTGTCCTGTCTGTGTCTCCCTCTCAGGTCCTTTGTCCATTTCCCACTACAACACATGGCCAGTGTCCTTTCTATTCATTGAAGAGGCCAAACCCACTTTTTCCCCTGGAAGCCTTTGTATTGCCATTCCCTCTTCCCGACATGTTCTTCCAATAGATCCCTATGTGGCTGGTTTGGTTCAGTCATTCAGGTCTTAGTTCTAATGTACACTCATCTATGCATTCTGTCCACAAATACTACTACTGAGGGCCTAATATGAATCAGGCACTGGGATGCATTAGTGAACTAAATAAACTAAAAGGAGATCCAAATGTTTGATAATGAATGAACAGAGTTTCCCAAGCATGGATGTATCTCAAGAGTACAGAAATTTTCCTTTGCTTTAAGTCAGTTAAGTATGGCTTTTCTAAGGTATCATCAAGCATTTCTGAAATTGTTAGAATGCCTTAGTCAACACTGTGGTCTCTTCTCCCTGGTAAATACTGTTTATGAAATTCTTCCTCAAGGCAGACACAACTGCAAGTTGAGGCTATGCTGCTGGTTTGTGAGTTCTCTCAGGATAGGCCCTTAGAGGAAATCTCTGACTTCTATAGAACATCACCAGCCTGTTGCTGTGCTGATCCTTTACACAGGACATCTTTGCTCCAGGCAATTCAGGAGAGACCTAAAGGAAGTGATGTCACAAGACAGTCTTCCAAACTCAGCACACTTACTTTGTGGACACCATTTGTCTTCTGCCCATCGATTGCAGTTATAATTATCCCCTGCATTTTCACAGGTAAAACACTTGAAGCTATTTGGAAATGGTGTTGCTTTAAAAGAAAAAAAAAATGCAAAGTGAAATGATAAGGTTAAAAAAGACAAAAATTTCAAACATCGAATATGGTACAAAGTCAGCAACTTTTATGTTAGATGAAACAAAACTTATACGATGTCATCTTTACAAATTCTATGTCTAGGGAGTTGGATTTACCCATCAAGCTTTTGGCAATTTAAAAAAAAAATTTTAAATACTTCCATGAATTTCCATTATAGAGTAACAAAAATGATTTCACAAGCCACTTTGAAAAGATCCATATCATTCTATTTTGATGTATAATTTGGGATAAGTGGGGGTTGAGGGTATGGGTGAGGGTGGTAGTGGTATTGGAACTAATACTGTGACCCACATATATCATCCCTGAAAAGAACTAGAGTCCAGATTAACCTCAGTTTGAATTCTGTCCTTTAAACTAATTAGTGTATAATTTTTAACTTCTAAGGCATAATAATATTTATAATTATAAAAATAAAGATCCCTATGATTTGCAGAGGTATAGTGAGAATTAAATGGAATACTGCAATGAAAATCCCTGTGGGGTCCCTAGCACATCAAGTCTTGCTAGTTTGCATCCATATGCACTCTATTACAGGTACAGTTATCCTCAAGGAAGTCACCTCATTTGACGTATGTCAATTGTAACAGCATTAGACCTTGACCAGGAAGGTAATATTTAATATAAGGGTGATAGGCATTCTTAAGCCCTTACACACAGGCCAAAGCACTGTGGAAAGGAGAAATACTGAGTTGCTGACAATGTGAATTGAGCAAAATTAACATGTTCTTTTGTTATTATATCTTTTTGAAAAGTTTGCCTTTTATCTGGTTATTTTTAATTTTTAAATTTTTTTTAGTTGTTCTACTTAGTTGTAAATAATAGCAGAATGCATTTCAATTCGTCATATATGAATGTGAGTGCAACATTTCATTCTCTGGTTGTGCACAGTGTACCATTCATGCAATCATACATGTACCTAGCGTAATGATGTCTATCTCATTCCACCATTTTTCTATCTTCATAACCCCTCCCCACCCTCCCCTTTGCCCAATCCAAAGTTCCTCCATTCTTCCCATGCATCCCCCCTATACTCATAGATCAGCATCCACTAATAAGAGAAAACATTTGGTCTTTAGTTTTTTGGGATTGGCTTGCTTCGCTTAGCATAATATTCTCCAACTCTATCCATTTACCTGCAAATGCCATAATTTTATTCTCTTTTAATGCTGAGTAATATTCCATTGTGTATATATACCACAGTTTCTTTATCCATTCACCTATCTATTCATGAATGTCTAGGTTGGTTCCACAGTTTAGCTATTGTGAATTCAGCTGCTATAAACATTGGTGAGGCTATGTCACTATAGTATGTTGATTTTACATCCTTTGGGTATAGACCAAGGAGTGGGATAGCTGGGTCAAATAGCAGTTCATTCCAAGTTTTCTGAGGAATCTCCACACTGCTTTCCAAAGTGGTTACTGTTCTTGTTTTGTTTTGTTTTTTATGTGGTGCTGAGGATCGAACCCAGTGCCTCACCCATGCTAGGCAAGTGCTCTACCACTGAGCTACAACCTCAGCCCCTTATCTTATTATTTTAGTAGGAAAGAGGGAAAATAAAATAATTTGAAATTTTTGCATAGACCAGGGCATAGGGTCTGGGTAAAATTTTTAATTCTCCTGGTTTTGCAGAATAATGTAGGCAAGTAAAGGTAAACCCCAAACCAACCTAGTAACATAACCAGAAGTTAGGGTGAAAAGTAGAAGCAGTGGGTATTTAGGGTACATGGGGAGGATATGCATTGCTGTATAAAACACAAGCAAAATATCAAAGATTCAGCAGACATGAAATTAAATACTGCAGATACATTTCAGTTTGGCCTATGCAAAAAGAATGTTATGCAGATATATAAAAATAATGACAGCCATTTTCACCTGTATGGGCTTAAAAATATTAATAGTCAATGCTGATGAATGAACAATTAGAGTATAAATTTGCACAATCCTTTATATTTAGTAATTCTAACTCTGGTAAAATCTATTCTAAGGTCATCAGTAAATTGAAAAGAACATTTAAAAAGATCTTCAATGGCAATTTCAATGAATTTAAATTGCTTGTATTTTTTAATGACATAAAGTATGGGGAAATGGTTAAATAAACAGCAGATCAGAAATATGAATTTTTAAAAATAAAAGACATTAGAATATTTTAAATATATTCAAATTATAGCATAAAGAGTGAAAAACTAATGTAAGACTAAATTTGTGTAATATTTTCTTTCAGTATTTTTTCCATATATGTGTATGTAGATATGAGACATACCTACATACACATATATGGAAAAAATACTGAAAGAAAATATTTCAAAATGTAAAAAGGAGCACCTTTGAATTATGGAATCATGAATAAATTTACCTTCTTCTGTATATTTCCTGTCTTTTGGGGATTTTCTACAATGAACATATATTTTTCTCTTTTTCTAAATATTTTTCTCATCAAAAAATTATAACACTCTTTAAAACTTGGAAACTTGTAGATAATCTAGAGTTACAAAAACCATGTGTCATGCATTTTACCTATTAATAAACAGGGATTAACAATTCAGGGATGTATAATAAATGATAATTCAAGATACATGTGTAGTACATATGTGTATATGTATATGTGTGAAGCATTTATATGTACACTGAGAGAGAAAGAGAACTAGATGACTGAATGTCCTAAATAATAAAGAAAACACAGAGTAAAAAATAGTAATGATATAGATGTCATCTAGGTGTACTATAAAGATAGTGGTTCTCACAGCTGTCTGTGTATCAACAGTATCAGGAGAGCTTTTCAAAAAAGAGAAAAGAAAAAATTCCACATCTCACCCCTTTGATTATCAAATCTCTCAAGAAGTGACCTGGGGATATATCATTTTAAAGCCTTCCATCAAGATTCTGATGGTCCTCCAGGTGGGGAACCATAAACATTTACATGTATACAAATAATTTTTTCTCTAAAATTTGTATGAGAGAAGTTTTATTTGAAGAGAAAAAGAAGGAGTGATGGTATATATTCATACAGACATTTATACACATGTACATATAAAATATATTAACATAAATTATCCTATAAGATGATATGCACTATTAGCCTATTTTAAAACTATTAGTGGAAAAGCTGAGTTTTATGTAATTCTTGCTAACTGTGATTGTGCATAATGAAAATCCAGGTTATATTCCTCTTCAAATATTTCAATTTTTCTAATCTTTTTAAAACTGTTAATGACCACTTGAAAGAATAAATATATCATTTATGCAGAAACTACCTGCAGCCAGTTTCTTCTCCAATGAAGAAATCAATAAAGAATACTGAATTTCCTCTGCTAAGCCATGATTAGGGACAATATTCAAAAGAATTTCTTAAACAAGAAAGCTTTTAAGACTTTAATAGGAAGCTAATTCATTTTAAAGAAATGAAGAATATTTTTGTTACCATAAACTTACCCATGGAGTCGTTGAAACCTTTCTGTTTTATTCTAGATATAAATCAAGCATTTCCAGAAAAAAAAAAAAACAAAACAAGGTGACAATGGATGGAAGTCGGGCTTCAAAGGACATTCTGATTCCCTCCCCAGTCATGAACTAACACGGCAACCACTACTTACGGTCAAGAGGAGGCCTAACATTGTAGAAGTTGATGTTCTTGGCAGATGCCCAGTTTTCTGAGAAGATAAAGATGTGGACAACAGCCACAGCTACAGCGTGACAGAGGAGCAGCATCCTGACCTCATGGATTGAACAGGCCAAACTCATATGTCTATGATGAAAACACAGATTATTTGAGTTTATTTATATTTTACTCATTAAAAATAAGAGGGTGTTTGCTTCTGTTTGAAAGACTCAATTATTCAATATATTTGAATATAATGGTTTCAATTTGAATTTGAATTGAATATAACTTAAACATTTATGTATTGTGTTGGGCTGGTACCTGCAACTAAACATTATTCTTTTGATCAGATGAAAGTTAAGTAATTACTGCCTTCTACTGGTCAGGCCTCTGCACTCACCATTTAAGTTTTAGCAGGATGCCCAGTAGCCTTTCAGGTTCAGGAAGACCAAGCAGCCCATACTGACCAGGTTATACCTATTTCATCATCTGAGTCTAGCTGGTTGACTTTGTGCTGAAACACCTCATCTCTCAAATTAACTATGGTTCCAGGCATGTTCCAATGAAGTCACAGGACTCCTCTTTGACCAGGAAGATGTGTGGGCAGCAGGAAAAGATACAACTTGGAGTCTAAAGGCTTCGATTTGGGGTTGGCTCTGCTGTTTATTAGTGGCCTGACCTTGGACAAGCTCTTTACATTCTATTAACCTCAATTTCCTCATCTGTAAAGTGGCTTAATAACACCGGAACTGCCCACACATTTGGGTAATTGTGAGCATCAAATACAGGTTCAGATAGGATCACAAAGGATTGTGAAAATCAAAGCCCTCATAATAAGAGTTCTGTGAAAATGTTGAAATATTAGAGCTCAATGATATTTGTTGAAATCCTTTTCTTCTTACAGAATCAACTATTCTCAGTGGATTTAGAAAAAAAATTTCAATGAAAAAAGGTTTAATCTCTGCATATATGTGTATAATTCTTCACATAAACAGGAAAATAACACTGGATTCTAAGGATTTTACTTCCCTCTCTTATGAATCAATTGGTTTTGCACATGAGCAATAATGCATAACCATGAAGATGGAATTGAATATTGGACAAAATGTAAGCACACACAATGTCATCCCTGGAGATGGCTTTTGCTGTATAGAACTGAGTCATTAAGGATGTACTCAGTATTCAAAAAAGAATAAAAGAAAAAAAAAGAAAGGAAAAAATAACCCTGGTGAGTAAATTTCAAAAATAATACAATAGTGTTAAATTTTATACACTGCATTTTAGAGCAGAACATAATAAGATCTAGATACATAAAAATGTATGCAATTTCTCTAGTTCATTTTAAAAACCAAGCTTGACCTTTTCACAGTTATCAGATTTCTAAATTCTATTCCTATGTTCTTTCTGAAGAAATAGACATTTAAGCAACTATATTATCCCAACAGTCAAGTGGTTTTACTGATCCAAATTCTGCTTTACCTGTCTCTTTCTCTTAGTTGGTCTGCTTTGTAGTCATCTTGAATCTGTTACCAAGTAATGGATGCATGCTCCTGCTTTATACCAGTGGAGACCTTTGGGGAGGGGAAGACTGATCTGTCTTTCACAAACCTCAGGATGACTGCACTCCAACAGCAATCCACATGGAGAGATGACTAAGATCATGGATTTCAGAGTCATGCTGTCTCACACTCCCTGTTCTAGCACTAAGCAGCTATGAAACCTGAGACTAGTAGTGGCTGAAGCTTTCCAAACCTCAGTTTCCCCATCCACGGGACCAGCATAAAAATAGTACTTATCTTCTCGTTTTGAGGTGTGGACGGTCACAATACATAGGAAGCACTCAGCAAGTGCTGAGCACATGGTTGGAGCTGTACTTACTGAGCACTTTCTATTCAGTAGTAAAGCACTGGCTCAGATACCTGTTTCCCAACCTGCTATTTGAAGCCTGGTGCAAGTTCTTTAACCTTCCTATGCCACAAACTTTGCTTCTACAAAATGGGAGTGATAACAGTACCTACTCCATAGAACTATAGGAATTAAATTATTTGAAGCATATAAAATGTTTGAACTATCTAATTAGCTATATGCCTAGAATTTTGCTAATTCTTATGTAAGCATTTACTATTATGAACACATCCCCAATTTGGAATCCCAAGTCAAAATCCCTGGTTTGCCTCATGTAACCTTTATGAAATGAAAGCTCCTTCACTCATTCATCAAACATGTCATTGTTGACAACTGGTATGCAACACACATTGTTGTCACTGAACCCCCTAAAGATTTTTGCTCATGCAAACTGCATTTCAGAGGGAGAAAACAGGAAACACACATGAAAAAAAATCTACTTTCAGTTAGTCATAAATTTCATGAAGGCAGTACAATAAGATGATATGTTAGTAAATAGGAGAGCTGCTTTACGTACATGGTGGTCCCACAACAACTCTCCAGTAGGTGGCATCTGAACAGGTACAGTAAACCATGAGAAGGAATCAGCCAAGCCAAGAATCAAAAGAAGAGCAACCCTGTCCTGAGTGCTTTGCCCTGTGGGGGTAATATTAAAATCAGCTGATATGACTGGAACCAGCTGAGAGGGAGGAATAGGCAAAATCAGAGAGTCACTGAGGCCTGATTACTTACTGCAAGGATTTGGGTTCAGGAAAAATCAGGCAATTGTTTAATTTTACATGACCTAATTTAGAAACAACACCAAGAAATACTCTGTGTCTGTGGAATAATTGGTCCTAAATCCCTAGCCTGATTTCTAACTCCTGGAATAAAGGAATACAAATGATTGTGAGTATAGAAGAAGACAGAAATCAGATACACCAAAGGCTTCTCTGAGTGAATTTTAAAACAACTGACTAGACAATAAGTCCAAGAATGAAACCATTTTTTTTGGTGTGTGTGTGTGTGTGTGTGTATGTTTGTTTGTTTTTGTTTTTGCTTTTTTCCATCACTCAAAACAGCACCAAAAGGACAGAGTATTATTATACTGTGTAATTGAGGAGCTGGTAATTTAGAGGCAGAAGATGTAAGGTTCCTAGCATCCTGCCCCCAACATGGGATCCTTCAAAAAACCTCCACATGACATATCCTGGCCAAGAATTTTGAAGGCTAATGAGAAGCAAACCAAAGGAGTATTGCTTCATACAGACAAAATGTGTTTTTGTTTCCACTTTAAACTGAAGAGTATACAGCCTTATTCTATCAAAATTATCCCAAACTGCAAAGTTCTTACCTGTCAAATAAGAAAAGTACTAAATAAAAGTGTCTCAGAATTCCAAAGCAGGTTTTATAATCTATTACCACACACTGCTTCTCCCCGAGCTCCTCATCTATCTCTATCTATGCTTCAGTGTACAAGTTTGTGGGAACATACTGTTTTATTTTCCACAACCAAAAGACATTAGGATAATGAAAAAGTAAATGACTAAATATAGTATCTGAGGGTTGTTTCACATTCAGAATCATTTCACAGAGACTCCTAGATAAAAATTGTCTGCTGAGAGTGCTGAGTAGGCTCCCACTGCAGTCTTTGTTGCAGAACAAGGTTACAGGAGAGCTTGTAAGAGAGGGAAGAAAATCTTTAATACAAGTTAAACTAAAGCATTCAGGTTATTTTCTTGGAGGCCATCACACAAAGCAGTGTTACTTCTTCATGAGGGGGGAATGGGTGATCTGTGAACTTCCTCAGGTAATTTGCAAAATGGTGTGTCTAGACACATTTCCCCCTGGGTGGAGTAGCTCAATGGAATCTGAGATTCACACAATGCCTAAGAACACCTGCTTGCTGTTTCCCAACAGAGCTGCCCCAGGTGAGCTCCCTGTGACTTAGACATTTTCACACTTTTGACATTAAGAAAAAAAGTTCCACAAATGCCTTAGATATCTGACCCACACCCCTCAAACTCAAAGGCAGATCGAGATATCCCCTGACCCCAAGCAGAGGTCATTACCTTCGCCCATCTTTCCCAGACAGTAGGCCTAGGCAAAAACCTATGGTACTGCTCTTCCCTGTGGTTTAAGAGTCCCCTTTGTGGAAGAAGAATTAATTCACTCCAGAATGCAGAGTGCTTCTCTGACAGAAAAAGGAAGACATTTATGTAAAAGCATCTTTGTAGGGATACAGCAGGGATGAGCAATTCCCAGGCATCCTAGTGAATTGCAGGTAGCCAGATTTGGAAATTCAGAAAACCCCTCCTGAGACTCTGGCCCCTTACTTCCCAGAATAAAAGACTTCATTCATGGTATTTGGTCCAGAAGCATGACAATTTCCCAAGTCTGAGTCCTGACAATCATCTCATCCTCCATGTGTCATTTTAAACTTCCAAGGACCACACGTAAAGCTGATGGGGCCTCAAGAAGCAACACATCTTTGACATCACAAACTTTTGAGTAGGAAATGAAAATAACATTATTTTTTCACATTCCTCAGAACCACGTTCAGTCATGGTAGACGCGGAGTGAATACTTTTTGGAATAGAATCAACATCATTAGCTATGACCTCTGAGGATGCCTTTCTTAGTGAATAATACAAAAGTTGTGGGCACTAAGGAATTGGTATGGTGTCCAAAAATGACAAAGAAATGATGGACTCCCACAGAAATTTGAAAAGAAGACGCAAAACCTAGGCAGTAAATACTGGCATTTCTTATGCAATTGCTAAAAATGAGTCAGCATGCACAAAACCAACTCCAACTGCCAGTGAGACAGATAATTTAAGAGAAACAGTTCTGCAAAGTCCAGCATGCCCTATCACCACTCAATCCACACCTGCCTGCAAGCACCACTTATCCCACAGTCAGACACTTTAATGACAATCCTTAATGGGCCTGGTTTCCCTTGTAAAAAGAATAGATAGCAAAATGGAAATTCAGAACAAATGCTGAAATTTACTCAGGGAGAATTCAAGAGATGAAAACACTCCTCTCAAAATGGGAAATTCACCAGAAAACTTTAACATCCACAACAAGAGTTGCAGTACTTGCTTCTGGCTGGTAAGCCGGGTTGGCAAATAAAGATATCCTAGTTCCTATTACATTTAGGAAGAGTGTTTGTGGGATTTATGTCAAAACTGGATTCTAATTCCTTCCCTAGCAGGGTAACGGAGGATTTAGTTTCTAATCTCGCCAGGGAACTGAGGGCCAGTTCAGAGAGTTCAGTTTCTACCTTCTCTGATGGGTTCACCTCCATTTGTGGTACATGGAGGGTTTCTCTTGTCCAAACCTTAAAAGCACCATGATTATAAGTCATACATTTATACCAAATATTTAGCTAAATAGTTAATATGTAACAAGGAATAAGAAAGACCCAATTCCTGAGCTCTCATGAATTATTTGGAAAAAAATTATTTATTTATAATAAAAAGAGACATCACCAAGATTTAATACAATCATCTTTGAGAGGAGGGAAAACACTAATCTTTAGACTTAGAAAAACCTAGAATAAAATTCTAGTCCTACATTTACTAACTTGGTGACTAAAGAGTTAAGATTTATCACCATTTGCTAAAAAGAAAAAGGAGGCTTAGAATCACACAGATAACATAAGTTGTTGTGTGGATTGAGTGCAATTATATAAATAAAGCATCTTTTATGTAGATGGCATTTGAGAAATCTTCAATATCCAATTCCCCTCTTCTCTGTCCCTTCTCCCTTCTTCAGATGTCATTAGCAGAAAAAGAGAAATCAGATCAAGGCATAGCACTGTCCAACTTTATTTTGTATTAGCTAGAACAAATCTGGTAAATAGTAGATTCATTTCTAAGGAAGACTCAGAAATCCTCCCTACTGCAACTAAATGGGAAGTTGAAATCAATGACTGCCAATGTCCCTTCTACTTCTAATAATCTATGATTTTTATGGAAGAATATCAAGGAAGAACTCCAGTTACATCATAAATAGTCCTACATGTGATGTAGTATTTCCATAATAATTCAGATTGTGATTGCAGTGCTTTAAAGAATACAAACAACAAAAAATCTCATCAATCCCAGGATCAAAAACTCATAGATATGAGTATCTCATTTCTAAGCATAAAGCTGAACATTTTGCAATGTCAGAGACATACTTTTTTTCCATTACATGCAACTTGATCAAAGATAATGTCTAAAAGAGCACTGATGTTAAAATAATTTCATTATGCAAATCAAGTTTAAATCTAATCATGAATTAATACAGAGTGATAAGTATGTAATATGAGTACAGAAGTAATCTAATCACTTTTAAGATCATATTTCTAAATATGATACAAATTTTAAGATAAAGCTAAGAGATGCTTTTTCAGAGGCATTGTTGTCAAAGATATGATTTTACATCTTTCTTGGGAAGGCTTTCATGACAATGGAGGGCTAAGATGGTAAGAACTCCACATGGACAAAATTTAAATATTTAGGAATTAGAAACTGAATTCCCTTTTTAAATAATCAAGATTTGTTTGTCATGTTTGATTTAACTATTGAACAAATGTTAGGAACCTCTATTAGTCAACTTTCTGTCATTATATCTGAGATAACTAACTTAAAAAGAGAGTAGTTTATTTCATAATTTTGAAGGTTTCAGTCCCTGGTCAACCAGCTACATTGTTTCTGGGCTTGTGGCAAGGCAGCATATCATGGCCAGGGTACACAAGCTGCACAGCTCATGGCTGGGAAACAAGGAGGAGGAAGAGCAAGGGGCCAAGATTCCACTATCCCTTCAAGGGCACACCCCCAAAGACCTAAACACCTCCCATTAATCCCCACCCGTTAAAGGTTCTGCCACCTCCCAATAGCATCAACCTAAGGACCCAGCCTTTAACAAGCTTTTGGGAGATATTTAAGATCCAATGTAGAGCAGAACTAATAAAAAAAAATGTATTGATTAAATTTGAAATTTTCTTCACATAGGTGAATAATCCTTACCCATTCTGAAAGGCATGAATGACCTATCAGGGGCTTATGCCAAGTAACTTATGCATTAAGTCTCTTAAGATACTGAGCAAAACATATTTTGGATGAGAGAATGGTGAAGATTCAAATCCCTTCCATGAATGGCACTCTGTGCTGTGAATTACCCTTTTCTCTGAACTTCCCAGAAGCCAAGAGAGACACAGTAGAATGCACTAATTCTCACTCTGTCAGAAAAGGGAGTTATTTCTGATATTGAATTCTCAAATTAGTGAATCCTTTGAATCATCGTATAGAAGGCACCAATCGACATGGATCATGCCTGAAATTTGTTTTGAAGAGATCCAGATGCATCTGTCGTTTGGCCATTCCAAAAAAATTTTTTTCTTTTCTTTGAGATAGATGTGTTTATACTTGAGAACAGTTTAAACTTGAATAACAGTTCTGCTGGAGACCTGGAGGCACACAGGGCTAGTACTGCCAGCAACTCCTCTGCAGAGCTGCATGGATACGAATTGACTGGCAATACAGATTGGGTACAGAACGCATTGCTTTTACATTTCATATCCTTGCTTGTTTTACTGAACTAATTTTTTTAATAACCAGTCAAAGCTCTCAAAATAGAATTCAAGGCTGAAATGTCCAACAGCTGGCTAAGGATCCATTACTCTACATTCATTGAGTGAAGGAGTGTACAGGGCCAAGGATGCACTCTCTAATTCATGGATTTTAGAACTCAACTGAAGACATTGACCATTGGGGCCACTCTGTGTGTAAGGTGATGGCTAACATTTTTTGCTTTGTTTCATCTCAGCTGACACAGAAAAATGGCTATAAGAATAAAGTATTCATAGGAATATGTTTCCTATTTAACCTCTCTGAATATATTCTTATATGATGATAGAATGTACCAAAGCAAAAACAGGTGATACATTTGTTTGGAAACATATGTGTGTATGTATATATGTGCATTTGCTCACATATATGTATATAACTATATACATACACAAATATATATATAAATATATATATATATATATATATATACATACATACATACACACACATATATATCTACACATGTGTACACACTTTATTGTATGAAGTAATTACTTAAATGCTAGTTTAAACCAGGTTGCAAAAGCTTCCCAAGCCTCTTTGGAAGAGACTGGACTGCCAGTTATCTCAGCTGCTTTCATCACCCACATGGCTATTTTTCAACCGGGAGATCTTTAGGAGCACAGTTGTTACTCTGCATTTGTCCTATCTTCTTTCTTCTGTCCTAGAGTTTTATGTCACTGACCATTATGTATAGAGCCCCCACTAGCTCAGTTTTATTCTTGCTTCTCCATCTAAAAATATATTACACAAGTAGAGAACATGTTTGTAGATATCATTTTGAAACAGGAGGTATTTAAAAACCAACAATAAACTGCATGCTATGGCAAAAGAATATTGTGCTGACTTTTGCATAGTCACAAAACCCAGAACAGATTATTCAAAGAACTCTCGGGAAGCTGACAAGCTTATAAAAGCAGTCCCAAGGAAAAAAATTTCTGCATCCTGCATTTATAACAAAGTTACAGTGTGTCACTTGCTCTATAAATTGTCACTATTACCACTTGCAGCCGAAGGAAACATACATATATAAAGATATATATGTGCATAATTTCATATTCCCAGAGGAAACTGAAAAATTATGTGCATTAAATAGTGTTTTAATTGCAACATGAAAAAAGACATTTAATTGCTCATGATGTGGTTCACAGTCCCACAAGGGTAAAGTCAAGTGAAAGTGCTGCCTGGTGTAATGGGGAAAAATTGGCCTTTGGAGGCACCCAGCGTAGGTACAAATTCTGACTCTGTCACTTCCTGGATCTATTACCATTACCTGATCACTCAATTACTCTAAAACTCAGTTTCCCTATCAGTAAAAGAGAGAGAGAGAGAGAGAGAGAGAGAGAGAGAGAGAGAGAGAGAGATTACATATTTATTCTGTAGAGAGTTATAGGAATTAAAAGAGAATGAATGAAAAGTTTCTACCTGCTGCCTTTTTTGTCAAAATAGCAAATCAATTAGAAAGCTAAATGTGATGTCCATTGTTCCTCTATGATTTACCACACTGGCCAATATCATTAAGGCCTTTCAATATCTGCCAACTTTTAAGACTGAAATTCAATATGCATATTTTCAGTTCTCAAATTTTATGATTATTCGAGCATATATGAAAACAGGATGTAAAATTCCTCTGAAGACCAATTTTTAAAAACTACTCTAGAATATATGTGAGAACAATATTTAGGCCTCACTAGAGCATTTCCATTTATTGATTTTCTGATAAATCCTCTTCTTTGCCCACACACATTAATAGCATGCAGTAGTTTGTAAAGCATCTGATTTAAGAAGCAAAAGCTCTGTGCTCTCATAGGTATCATTATTTCACTGCTTCAAGATGTGTCACATTTGCCATTCTGCTTGAAGGCCCAGTTAGAATATTTCTCATTCACAAAAACTTTCCATGTCTATTCCAGCCCCTGGATGGGTCGATAGTCTGGGAAAAGCTTGGAACTTGTTTGTGGACACAAGACTGTCCTTCTTTGCTTAGTACTGGGCTGAGCAAAGAAAGTTCAAGTCCATTCTTAGAAACAGGCGAAAGGTCTCTCTTTAAGAGATCAGAGACCTTGTAGATATTGCCAATTTAAAAGAAATCAAAACAAAACAAAACAAAAAAAAATTTTTGTTGTTTCCTACCACACAATTTCCATTGCCATTTTGATTGTTCTTTAAGTGATCAATCTTTTATCAGTCTTCTATCACTCTGCTAAGTTACTCATGTGGAGACTCCAAGAACATCATTATCAACCACTTGAAATTCTGTCCAATAAGGACCTCGTGCATTCACAGGTAGTTGGACACACTCTAAAACACACCAAAACATACCACCTTCCTGGGCCTAAAACACACCACCTTCCTGGGCTCTCCAAGTCCAGTCAAAGGGAAGTGACTTTGACAGGCTCTTTCCTTTGCACCCCAGGCCCATCCTTTATGCTGGGAAGACAGCTATAAAGTCCATTCACATAGTTCCCTTTTTACTGGCTTCCAGTTTGGTTTGGCCAACAGCAGGTGCTCAGAGATTGCAACATAAGAAGATAGTGAGAATGGGTATTTCCACCCCTGATATGGAGCTCCATATCAGGTTGTCAACATGTCCTGCAGCTCCTCTCAGGTGGCACAGTGGCCTCATCCCAGATGCTGGTAACCATTTCCACCCCTCATCCTTCAGGCACAGGTTATGGCTCTTCTGCTGCTAACTCCAGCGTCTGGTACTACCTATTGTTGATTTCCTTAAATCTAGCCCATGCATTGTAATCAGCATCGGCTACATGCTTGTTGTTTATCTTATCTAATTCCTGCCAAAACCCCCAACAGGGTCTTGAATACAGTCTCTAAACATCAGGAAAAGAGCCACCCTGGACCAGGACATCAGGGCTTATTGTTATAGTAGAGCCATTACAGAAACAGCTGCAGTGAATAAACAGTAGCCTCTTTACTAGTAAAGTATGAGCTACAGATACAATCTCTTAGGTGATAGGAGATCCACAACCAAACTGATACAACAAATCAATCAGAGAAGAAGGAAGACTATAGTAAGGAAACCAGGATACTACTGAGCACTGTATCCGAAGATAAACTGGGTGAAGATCTCATAATCTCATGCAGATATCACATCCTTCCAAAAGTTAAGTTTTCCTCCTACCGTCACTGAAGCGCATCATTAAATAAGCAGAGAGAGATGGGCATGATTTTTGAACTTCAATAAAAGAGCTAAGAAAAATGAACCAGCTTACTATTAACACAGCTCTGAAACGCATGAAGCCCTAATGTATTCAGGGCAATACCATCTTATGGCATTATAGTACCTATAAATATATCTGCACAGAAATGTAGGTTGATTTGAATTCAGTGAATATTGAAATCTGCTATGAATGTTCTGGTGCTTTGCTCTACGGTTTCCTTCCTGAGATACTGCATGCCAAGAAACAAAACTATATATGAACTTGACAATGGACTTCTCATTTAAATTAAGAAACGTCTCCTAAAATGCTGTGTGGTTATTTTTCTGGTGACCTCTCATCTCCTCTGGGACAATGTTCTCAGGAGCTTCATTAGCTCAGGGAAACCCTTTACTCCAACTTCTAAATTTACTCATACTTACCTTTCTTAATTACGTTTCTTCTCTCCTCTGCTTCCTCCTCTTCTATTCCCTGCTTCTCTCATTCAAGGACACCTCAAAAGGAAAAAACAAAAAAAAGGAAAAAAAATTCAGCTTAAATTGCACAGCTTAAAATGTACCAATTTCCAGACCATAAAACTTGTTATTGGCAAAGTGTTCTTAGATAATGCCTAAAATAGCCCCTTTTACCTTGTTCTTAAAACATGGCACACCTTGAAGATACTTTTAAAAACAGTGGCACGTAACAACAGAGACCAAATAAAGGATTCTTCTCTCTCTCTTACTTAAAGTTCCTAAAACAGAAGACTGAAGACACAACCCTACAGGGTTTTCATAGGTGTAGAGACCACTGAAATCAAACCTGAGCCCACAGCCATTGCTGGCAAAGTAACTTGTAGTCTATGAGTCACAATTCTGGCAAGTGTCTTCCACCATGAGCACTGTCCACTCCGAGCACAGGGCCTGCACTTCAGGACTAAACCCCCACCCCATTGCACCCCACAGCTGCCCACTGCAGTTTATACAGAACTGTTACTCGCTAAGTGACAGTTGAAGAAATGCTTGAATGAGGTTGACTTCGCCCTTCTATTCAGATCACAAAGTCCACTCCCCTGGCTCTGAAGCAGACCAATTTCCATTTACACCTTAGTGCCCGGGTTGGGGCAACAGGCAGCTATCCCAACTTGAGGGCTGTGAAGCTTGAATTAGCACATCCACTGTACCATATGATTCATCTTCAAAGAACTTTCCCATCCAAAACTAATTAACCCTCTTCACATCCCTGTGAGGTAAGTGCATTGTGATCACCTCCAGGATGTAAGGAGGAAATTGGGGATGGGGAGGTTACAGGCTTTTCCAAAGGTGATTAAGGATGTCTGCAGGGGAATGAAGTCATCTTACAGCAATTCCAGATTCAGTTTCTCCGCCCTCTCTGGCATCCACACCCATTCGCTTTGTGTTGACCATCTTGTCATTCCATGGGCTTTAGGAAAGGTGTGGACAGAGTCTAGCAGGCAGGAGCATTTCAAAGGAAAAACCAGTACTAACATTTGCCCCTGCTAAACACATTGGATGTCTTTCCCACAATAACTCAGCATCAGAAGTCAGCTCTCCCAGATCTTTACTAGTAAAGCGATAGAAAGAAAGCTGGGAATCATACCTCCTCCCCTCTTCCTGGGAAGTGGGTATGAGGCATACTCTTGAGTCAGAGGCACAAGCTGGTGCATAGGCTCTGGGTCACTACCTGTCCAGACCTTTGCTCAGTGCAAAATGATGGCACAGCTTCCTTGACATACCTGACCAGGCCCTGGAGGCTCTGCAGCACTTCAGAATTTCTTAATGAAGGCAAAAGTATCCATCTTCTTTGCTATGGGCCTTCCTTCTTACTTTGCTGAGAGAATTAGGATTGTTATTTCCAAGGAAAGAAGCAAGCTTCAACCACCAAGACTATGTCCTCTCCCCTTTGTTGGTTCCTTCCTTCCTCTGCCCCAGTTTCAGGCTTTTATGTTATTACTGTTTATTGCCACCCTCTGCTTTTATCAGAACCTTCCTTAGGAAACACATTCACTCTCACATTCAACTCCCATTCCTACACTGCCTATTTCTAAATTACCAGGCCATTCCCTGGACTGAGGAGGCTGAGTTGTAAATTGTGGTTTCCTGCCATTTTTATATAGCATGAGTTCAGTAGATGACTTACTATTTCATTTAGGGAATGACTAGTCTGAACAGACATTAAAATACTCTTAATACTCCAATAATTAAAACAGTGTTGTACTAACATATGAGTAGACAGAATAGAGAGCCCAGGAACAGGATAGAGTCCAGGAATGGATTCAAATCCATGTGGAATTTTGTTACATGCTAAAGATATCTTCCCAAGTCTATACCATAAGGATCAATATCATAAGAAGTTGGGTTAGGACAACTGGGTGATAAGGAAAAAAAAAATAAGGTTGGATATATACCTTGTTTTGCATACATACATACACACACACACACACACACACGCATACACACACAGAACTATAAAAATCCTAGAAGAGAAAATTTCAATACAAAATGGTATTCACTAATTTTAAGAACTTATTGATATAATCATGATACAGAAAGCATATTCTAAAAAGTCCTTACAAACTATTGATATATATTGGTGTACTTATTAATAAAATAATATGATGTCTAGAATTTGCTTTAAATATTCTCTAAATGAGTGGAGCAAGAGATAAGACTGGCAAAATATTTCTAATTGTCAAAACTAGATGTTGGGTGTCTGGGTTCCACTAAACTATTATCTTTAATTTTTGTATGCTTAAACTTTTCCATAATTTTTTAAGTACCAGAGGAAAATAAGAGTGAGTTGCTTATAAAAGGCATTTCCAACTCTGATTCAAAACCCAGGAATATAAAATTAAAGTTTGATGGATTCAACTGCATTAAACAACTTCTACGTGACAAAAAAATACTATGAGCAAAGTCAAGAAACAAATAACAAACTGGGTAATATATTTTCAGTTCATATCACAGACAAAAAAATTGATAATCTTGCTAATAATGAAAGAGCTACTAGAAATCAGAAGCAAACTATCAATAACCCAACAGAAATTTTGACAAGGAATATTGATAGACATTTCATAGAAAATAAATGAAATGACCCTTAAACATCATGAGAAAGGTTGAGTACCTTTTTGAATAGGAGAAATAAAATTTCTGAATGTTGGCCAATCTGATAGGTGGAAATGTTTTCTAATGCTCTTTTTTGAGGAGCCCACAAAACCAAAAAATTTTCATATCTTGCTGATGGGAACACAACCCATAAGGAACAATTTGTGAGCATTATTAAAATTTCACATACATTTACCTTTGACATGTACCCTCAAATCCTACTGGAAATTTTTCTCTACAGGTAGACCTACACACATGTACAATGACATATTCCCAGGATATTCATTACAGCACCATTTGTAATAACAAATGACTGGAAACAATCCACATGCCCATTAAAAGAAATATACACATATGTGCTCACACATGAATATTCCATGTCACTTTTTGTGTTAGAGAGGGAATGGAATAAAAAATACTGTATGTACTTACTTGTATATGCATAAAGTACAATCAGTAAGGATATACAGAAAATTAATAAAAGGATTGGCTTAGGTGGAGGGGTAAAATATATATATATACAGTACAATAAAACAGAAGTGAATATACTTCATTTCATTGGTTCAATTTTTAATCCATGCAAACACATGACTTATTCAAAAATTCAATTAAATATTCAATTAAAATTCAATTCAATATTAGCAAGATTATCAATTTCTTGTCTGTGATACAAGCTGAAAATATATTACCCAGTTTGTTATTTGTTTCTTGACTTTGCTCATGGTATTTTTTTTTTTTTTTGTCATGTAGAAGTAGTTTAATGCAGTTGAATCCATCAAACTTTAATTATATATTCCTGGGTTTTGAATCATAGTTGGAAATGCCTTTTCCTACTAATAAAACAACTCAATTTGTTTTACAGTTTATGGCTACATACCTACTATATGGTTACAACTGTATACTGGTACATGTCTGGTACCTATACTATACTAACTACACCTTAGTATATGTATAGTATATAAATAGTAAATATACTACTAAGTTATAGCTCCAACAGTTCTTTCTAAAGGCTTGATGGCTTAGAAAATCCAAACATCAGATAATACAAAATATAATTTTTGTTTGGCTTTAAATGCATTATTGGGTGGTGAATGTGGGGGTACCTAACAGTTCACCTCTATGATTATGTTTTACAAATTCTGTTGGTGAAATTCAAGATCTTGGCTTGGTGAATCCTAAGAGCAGATTAGAGTGCAGATTCAAGAGAAAGCATTATCTTCTTTTAGAATGAAAGGTCTACCTCCATTCCAGTTTCCTGGGATCTTCTGACTATTAGTAGCACTTCTCTCTTATACTACAGGCCAAGGGATGCTAATTTTCTCATTCCCAAGATCCATTTCTATCTTGTCCCCACTACAAATCCCAGATTTCTTGCTAACAAGGATAAAGTTCTTTGAAATATTAGAAATAGCTCAACAACTCTGGTAACTACATCAGAGGTTCTAAGATCCCATATTTTAGGCTATTGAGGAAGCGAGAGGAGGAGGCCTGAGGTGCCTCACCCTGCAGCCCCTAGCAGAAAGACTTCATGGGGGCGGAAACCCACTCTCAAAGTCAAGAAGGCAATGATTCCATGTGTACCTATCTTATAGGTGAAAATTCCTGTTATTCAGCTTACTGAATGTTATGGTTTGAGTACAAGGGTCACCCCCAAAGCTCCTGTGTTAATGCAGGAGGTAAAATGATTAGATTATGAGATGAAACCTACTCAGTGGCTTAGTCATTTGATAGATTAACAATTTGAAAGAACTAACTGGGTGGGAACTCTAGGAAGGTGGGACGTGGTGAGAGGAGGTGGGTCCCTGGGAGTGTGTCCTTGGAGATTATCTTCCTGGCCACCATGAGCTAAGTACCTCTCTCCTCCTTGGGCTCTTCTGCCACCTCACTTGCAGCTCACAGCAATGGAGTCCAATGGAAGTCCACCAGCAACAGACTAAACTGCTGAAATCATGAGCCAAATAAACTTCCTCTAAGTTGTTCTGTTCAGGTATTTTGGTCCCTGTGATAAAAAACCTTACTGACACAGTGAACAAGCTAATTTTTTTTCCCATACCTGGGCTACTTCTCAGCATTTCAGTTTCCTCACACATAGACTCACTGAAAAATGAATGTGTAACACTGGACGAGTCATTTAACCTTCCCGTGCCTCAGTTTCCTCCTTATAAATAGGATATAATAATAAAAAATAATGACCTCAGATGACTGAGTTAATTTTTCACCAGCGCTCAGAGTAAGACCTGGGAAGCAGGAAGAGCTCAATACAAAGTAGCAACCTGCACAGAACATCTTTCAAATGAACATTCAACACTCGCTCTGGAGCCTAACTTCTAGGACTACCTCCTGAGAAGTTACAGAATACATCCTCTGTCACCATTTTCCTTGGACTAATT